GACACAGGTACTCCAATGATTTAAAGGGATTTAACTCTCTCACTCTCGTTCTCCCCCTCTCTCCACATGGTAGCACAGACAGTCCCTAACAGCTCCACGCTAATCAATTTCTCATACTCAGTGAAGGTGATCACAAATAAAGGCTTCTGCTGGGGTCTTTATCAATCCCTGATTGGCCTTTTGCAGGTCCAGATCACCCCTATATTAATCACTGTGTCCAGTGAGTAGGGAACCCTGATTGGCCCCCTGGGCTACATCCCTATTCCTCTGCTAAAGGAGGTGAGGGTGTGTGACAGACAGCCCCACTAGGTGGCAGAAGAGAAGTTCACTAAAGGAGAAAAGGGAGATTCTGTTAATAGCAAAAAGGGGAAAGGATGCTAAACAGTTATATCAACTATTGACAATAAACTTTATCATTTACCAAAATACCTCATACTGAAAAGTGGTGGACACTGTTTTCAACAATTTTAAAAGAGTAAAAGATCAACTGCATGACTAATGTGTAGGTTCATTAAAAATTAAAACCAATTTTTGATGCAACTGAAACAAATGCTTTAATGGATTCAAAATTTAGTACTTAAAGATCATTTGAGAGTGTTACTAGTGGTCTTCACAGTGAAAGCCCTTTGAACGTTGTGGCATTTAGCAAACCATGATTTCACACTGAAGGAAATGCCACTCTCCTTAAAATCTTCATTGCAGTTAATTCTGTTGTGTTCAATATGTTTCCATAGCCCTAATAATAAGGGGATGGAATTCAGAGGTCACATGCCCTAAGAAAATATCAGAGGGATCCAGAATTAGAAGGAAAATTAGAATGGACATCACAGCAAATTCTCACTCTTTAGGGTATAGACTCACACTATAACCATGAGTTTTGCTGGGTCTGAAATCAAGAAGAGGGTTCGGATCTCTTTATCAACCGGCTGCTAAAAAAAAAAGAAAACAAGAAGAAGAAGCAACAAAATAGAAAATAATGTTCTTTTAGAACTAAGGTAAAATAAACCTTCAAACTTTTTTCATTTATTTATTTATTATTTGTTTGTTTGTTGACAGCTGGCTGGTGCTGAAAATATTTTTAAGGGCTGGCCAGTTACCTCAGGGGGTTGGAGTGCGGTGCTGCAACACCAAGGTCAAGGGTTCGCAGATCCTCTCACCAGCCAGCCGCTGCCTCCCCCCCAAAAATACATGTGTATATTTTTTAAGAGTGGTACAGATTAACAAAATATAAAAAGCAAAAGGAAAATTAAATATTTTAACTGTAAAAGAAGAGAAAGTCAAAAAAATAAAAAGATGATGTAATAGAAAGTTAAGCTAAACCATGAATTCAAAAACAATTAAAAACTAGATAAAATTAAAGGTAAAAATAAAGGCAACTAATAAAGAGCCAGAATATTTTAAAAGTTAGATCAACAAAGAAAAAATATCAAATTATACCGCCCGCTGTCCAGCTTTGCTGCCATCGTCCATCGACCTCCATTCCTTGCAGATTTTATCTCTGGG